GGAAAGAGGTATGGCCTGAGGAAAGGAAAGGAGCTGGATGATAAATTTCCAGAAAGCAGACACCCTTTCTAACACTCCTTCCTATCTGAAGCATCTACAACAGTATTCAGCACATGAAGCAATTTGTATCCATTTTTATGGGCAATTCCTAGGGCAGGAGATCTTTGAAAGGGCCTGTGGAGGTATGAGAGACCTGAAAAAAAATGCTTTGGTTACAAAATATTTTAAAACCTGAAAAATCAAGGTTGGTGACTTTAAATGTTTATGAAATGTGATATCTTAAAACCAGCTAACTTCCAGATGCAAACTAGTATTATATATATAGGATGGATAAACCACAAGGTCCTACTGTATAGCACAGGGAACTCTATTCAGTATCCTGTGATAAACATAATGGAAAAGAATATGAAAAAGAATATATGTATATATAACTGAATCACTTTGCTGTACAGCAGCAATTAACACAACCTTGTAAATCAACTATATTTCAATAAAATAAATTTAAAAAATGAAAACAAACTTACGGTTACCAAAGGGAAAAGGAGGTGGGGGAGGGATAAATTAGGAGTTTGGGATTAACAGATACAAACTACTATATATAAAATAGATAAACAACAAGGCCCTACTGTATAGCACAGGGAACTATATTCAATATCCTGTGATAAATCACAATGGAAAAGAATATTAAAAAAGTATATATATGTATAACTGAATTACTTTGCTGTGCAGCAGAAACTTAACACAACATTGTAAATCAACTATGCTTCAATTTAATTTTTAAAAATTAGCTAAGTTCAACTCAACTCATATATGAATTATATTTGATATGGGTATATTTCGTCTGCTCCTTTCCTTATGTGTATTTAATTCCCTGATGTGCACAACTCTATTGGATACAGCTACTCATCCCTACAGTAAAATTTCATATACAAATTTCCACTTCATAAATGCTCATTGAACTATTAGCCTATTAGTAAGCTTTCCTGGCTTTGCCTCACTAACTAATTTTGGTTTCTTTTTTTGTTTTGTTTTTCTATTTTTAACTTTTTCTTTATTCAGTTATCTTAATTAAAACTATATTTTATTAATGTTGTCTATAAAGTGTACAAATATTTGGATTTAGCATCAGAAAACCATCATAAGAATCTAAAAGAAACTTGTTTCTTTTTTTAATGGAAAATTTAAAAATCACACAAAAATGGAAACATATGAGGCCCCATATACCCATCACCAGCTTCAACCATTACCAACATTTTTTCACTCTCGTTTCCTCTGTGTCCTCAGCCACGTTATTTCATTTTACTCATTTTTACTGGAGTATTTTAAAGCAAATCCCCCAGTTCTATCAGTCTCACTCATCGATATTTCAGTATTTAGTCAGCATCCATTCACTTCTTCAATACCTATAACAGGCCAGCTACTGTGCAGCTACAGTGCAGCTTACGAATAAGGCTGGTGGCTTGCCCTTGAAGCTATGAGGGGAGGAGTCTGTAGTCCCACCCATGAGCTCATACAAAGAACCAGACAGGTCAGATGAAGCCAGGACAGAGCCCCATGACAGGGCTCAACCAGGGGCCCAACCTTCATCTGGCTAGGAATGGCACCGTGACACTTGAGAAGCTGACCTAGAAAAACACTCAGTTGAGAAAGCAGCAAGGGCTCCAAGGCCAAACCAAAGGGATGACCAGCTAGCAGGCAGAAGGATGAAGACGACCTAGCCAAGGAGGTGGACAGGCACACAGAGAAGTAGTGGAAAAAATGGGTACCGGCAAAGCTTTTCAGCTCTCTGACCAAAATGTATATCAGATATTTTTAAATTGCTATTATTTGGTAATATTCATATAAAGGATACAGTTTTTCTGAGGCTTGTAGAACTGTTGGGACAATATATAAGGCATACCAATTCTATAGTTAGACCTAGAGTCATCAGATAAAAATAAAGCTATATCAGAATTTTATTTTCCTATATAGAGCCATAATACAACTCTCTCTCACATGGAGCCAGTCTTAGAACGTAATGCATCTTCGTATATTCGTTCATTCATTCATTCATTCAACAAACACTTGGATGTCTGCATTTGCCAGGTACTGGTTTATTTGCTTGGGATAGAGATGCGAACAAAGGCATTTTCTGTAATGAAACTTATATTCTGATATGAAAGACAGACAGTAAATAAAGGAAACATGGGGCTTCCCTGGTGGCGCAGTGGTTGAGAGTCCGCCTGCCGATGCAGGGGACACGGGTTCATGCCTCAGTCCGGGAAGATCCCACATGCCGCGGAGCGGCTGGGCCCGTGAGCCATGGCCGCTGAGCCTGCGCCTCTGGAGCCTGTGCTCCGCAACGGGAGAGGCCACAACAGTGAGAGGCCCATGTACCGCAAAAAAATAATAATAATAATAAAAATTTTAAAAATAAAGGAAACATGGAAACACATAATATCAGAAATAAGTACTATCATGAAAAATATAGCAGAATAAAAGTAGAGAGAGAGAGAGACAGAAGCCCTTTTTGTATAAGGTAGCCAGAGGAATATACCACTCCTCCATGTACGTAGTCTAACAGGAAGCCAAAGTTTCATTTGATGACTGAGAAAGTGGAGGAAAAAGAAAACTGCAGATATAATTGTTCATTGACTACATTTGTTATCCAATACAAATGAAGAAACGTTACCTGAAAGCGCTATTAACTTCCATGTTCCTTTGGGATTGCCACCATCCTTTGCCCTCTCTTTACCACCTTTCCCAGCTTCTGTTCCTCCAACCTGGCTAGTGTTGGCAGTGGTAGGAGTGGAGGGGTGGGTGTTAATGGTGATGGTGGTGATGCCGGTGGGAGGGTCCCCTGACTTGCTGGTGGACCTCTCTGCTTGGAATGTTTACTACATCACCTGGAACCTCAGTCAGAACTCACTCTATGATTCTGAAGAACTGTGAAGCAATAAGGTCATAAATTGTGTTAAGTAACAAACTTGTCTTTGAAATTTCTGAAATAAGGATTATTCATTGAAGAGACTGCCTTATGCCTGCATAATAAGACTTAAAAAATGAAAAGAGTGGGTTTCCCTGGTGGGGCAGTGGTTGAGAGTCCGCCTGCTGATGCAGGGGACACGGGTTCGTGCCCCGGTCCGGGAAGATCCCACATGCTGCGGAGCGGCTGGGCCCGTGAGCCATGGCCGCTGAGCCTGTGCGTCCGGAGCCTGTGCTCCGCAACGGGAGAGGCCACAGCAGTGAGAGGTCCGCCTACCGCAAAAAAAAAAAAAAAAAAAAGAAAAGAAAAGAGTGACTCTCAATTAATGTACAGTTAATGTACTTCCCACTCGGGGGTAACGTATCTCATGCCATCTCTCCAGCACCCCTTCCTACCTGCCCTGGAGAGTCTCGCCATCCCCACTCCCATCCTGCCGTCCCAAGTCACTGCTTGAAAGGTATAGGCTTTTTGGTTTTTGCACTGTATTTTTTAAGGCTAAGTTTATTCCTGGTCGATATCTTTAGTTCCTAGGTTCTTCATCCACAGCGGCCTTCCACTTTCTCACCCCAGGCCTGTATTAGAACTAGAGTCTTAGAACAGCTTGTTTGCACATTGAAGAAGATTGGACAAGCCCGACTACTTACTGGACATCACCACGAGCACATATTCCAGTCAACCCCAAATTAACATGTCCAAAATGGAACTCACCACCTTTCCTCCAGAATCATCTCCCACCATTAACTTGGTTAGGCTAGAAACTATGTTTTCCAGAATCCTTTTCCCTGTGTGGTTCCAGGTTTGACTTGCAAGAAAGGAATTTGGGGGCAGTACATCTGAACGCTGCCATGGTTCAATGAGATGACCCCAGATGCAGAGGTGCCTAGCAGGTCCAGCTTGTCCTCGCTCCCTCTACATTGCCAACAGCAGCCCCAGATCCACAAGCAAGTGGGCCCTTAAAGGCAAATCCCTCCAGATTCCTTCATCAGCATGCCTTCTGTGGTCCTACTTCAGTGGCTGGATATCCTTGGCTTCTCAGACTGGCTAGGGACTCCTCTGTTCCTTCCAGCTTCCTTTCCCAGATGTTCAGTTGCCCAGCTCCTTCCACAAATCGTGTGAGGTCAGATTTCAACAGTGAGTTCTTTTTTTTTTTTTTGCCGTGCCGAACGGCATGGGCATGTGGCATCTTAGTTCCCCAACCAGGGATCAAACCCATGCCTCCTGTATTGGGAGGGCACAGTCTTAACCACTGGACCTCCAGGGAAGTCACCCAGAATAAATTCCTTATTCCATAATTCCTTCACACCACTCATGCAGGTGTACTGCCTGATCACTCCCAGCAGCTGCATCACACCCATGCCATGTCAGTGTGGGAAGGTTACTGAGGCAGCTCTTTCAAGCAAGTCCTGAGTCTCCTGTCAGCTCCAGCTCCCGGGCGGGGTCAGGTATCTCTCTTAGGGTGGCTGAGTGTTCATATCTCCACATGCAGCCCTCAGGCCCGCTGGTGAT